TCCCGGCATGCCCCGGGGCAGCCTCCCCGGCCCGCTCCCCTGGTCGGCGTTCCAAAGTTCGGGAAGCCCTTCCGAGCCAAGGGCGGGCAGGTTCTCACTCCTGTCCTTTCAGAGCTCCCCCCTGCAGGCTGCCCCGCACGGGGGCTGTGTCCGAGTTAGGCGCACAAGCTGCGCGCTGCGGCCTGAGGCAGCACGGGCACAGCGAGCAATCGGAAAAGCTACGGGGCCGATGGTAAGGGTGACACGGTCAGCCGCGTCACGGGCTTTAAAGGGCGGCGTGTGACTTGGGCTGCCTGAAACTGAGGAGAGCAAAATAGCCGCTGTCCTGTCAGCACAGCGCACAAAGCAAGACAGCTGATTTTCAGGCTCCATCTTCTCTTTGTACTTTCTGGCCATGCCCCCCGGGGCCGTATCTCACAAGCTCACGTATGCACTATGACCTTTCCCAGGGTCGAAGTATAGCGTCAGGCAGGACGCCGCTGTTGGAGCCTACTCCTTTGGTTTGTGATGACTGGGAACTAATGGGCGTACCGGTAATGAGGAATACACTTGGCAGCTGAGGGATCTAATTCTCTGGGATACTGCACGCACCACTAGCCACAAGCTTGGCACTCCAGAAAACACAAGCAGTATCTCAGAGAAAGGCAAGAAGCGGCTCCTGTTATGCAAGATCAGTTATCTTCACCAAAGTGATTCTAGCTAACAGAAAATTAAAGAGAAAAGTGTGCAGTGTGCATGATTGAGTTGAAAACAATCTGGATGGTTCTCCAGCTGATGCTTTAGGGATCACTCCTTATATTGTCCTCCTCATCAGAGAAACAATGAAGTATCTGAGAACATGGCCAGCTGCTAAGGGAAGGCCTATTGTCAGGAGGCAGGTAAATATGCCAGAGAAAGCAAACAAGAAAAAGAAGGGAGGTGAGGTAAAACAAATGAGAGAACAGAAGTGTAACAGAGGGAGGCTCAAAGTCTGGGGTAGATATCTGACAAGTGAAGGGACTTGTCACATAGACAGAAGAGACGTAGAAGCAAGAAAATCAGGCAGTTCAAGCTGTGCTGTGCTGAGGCTCTCATGAGCATTTTCCCCAGAGGCTGCACTTGAGAAGCCAAAGTTCAAAGCCAGAGATGCTTCAATATTTTTCATGGTTCGCTTTCAGGTCATTTGATTGAAAAGATTCTAAATTTGACAATTTCTAGTGTTCAAAGGGGTTCAGATGTTTTTTAATCTGTTCAGCTCATCCTTGCCTGAGATTAAAATGAACAACATTCATGTCTGTAAAATTTAACTCAAAACCAGCCCTTCAGAGCCACAGAAGAACGTGTTAGGAGAGGGTCTGTCACTAAAGAGGAAAGTGAGGATGTTTCAGTTTTTAAAATGCTCTATAAAAATCAGGGAAGAACTGGCTGAATGTTGTCACTCTGCAATCCTAGAGCTGAGTAAAGCACAAAAGGAGCTAACTGTGAGACAGAAGATGAATCAGAGAATCATAGAATATCTCAAGTTGGCAGGGACCCATAAGGATCAAGTCCAACTCCCCGCTGCTCTCAGGACTACCTAAAACTAAACCATATGACTAACAGAGTCATCCAGATACTCCTTGAACTCTGACAGGCTTGGTGCTGTGACCACCCTCTCAGCGAAGAACCTTTTCCTAATGTCCAATCTGAACTTGCCCTGATGCAGCTTCATTCCATTTCTTTGTGTCCTCATTGCCGGTCACCAGAGAGAGATCAGCACCTCCCCCTCTGCTGCCCCTCTTGAGGAAGGTGTAGACTGAGATGAGGTCACCTCTCAGCCTTCTCTTCTCCAAGCTGAACAAACCAAGTGACCTCAGCCACTCCTCGCAAGTCTTGCCCTTGAGACCTTTCATCGTCTTGGTCGCCCTTCTCTGGACGCACTCTTAACACTCCCATGTCCTTCTTACACCGCGGCGCTGAGCACACGCACCAGCAGCTGAAATGACACCAGGGCCCTCATGGCAGGACAAGGGGCAGGAAAGCCCCCATCATCGCGTTCCCAGCAGGGTCTGTGTCGCGGCCCCCCCAGCGCCAGGCTGAGTTCCCCTGCTGCGTCGCCACCAGTGACCAGGAGACATCCGCGGCTACCAAAGCGTCTGACTCACCTCACTGGTGTCTGTGGGCCCTCAGTGTCCACAGGGAGGGAAAACGTGCCCCGTGCACCGCCATGCTGCCCCGCTGCATCATGCGTGTGCCGACCAGGAGAGAGGGCTGCTGGAACAGGCTCCTGTGCAGCACGCAAGTGCTAGCCATCAATGGCACTGGAGAAGCAGCAGAAGTAGCGGCAGGGAGCAGCAGGCAGAAAAGAAATGGCACCCTCACAGCCCGGTACCACGCTGGTCCCGCCCTGGTGCCTGCAGCGCGGCCGAGTCGCACGTACATGTGCTGGAGCCAGCTGTACGCGCTGCTGCGCCGGAGGGCAGAGCGTCCTGCAGTACGGCGGTGCGAGTGACGCAGCGCGGTGCCGAGCGGCCGTGGGGAGCACCAGGCTGCCAGCTGTGCCTGGCGGCGATCAAGGGACATCTGCCCTGAGCACCTCGCCGCAGGGCGCACGCATGAACCCAGCCGCTGCAGTGCACAAAGAGAAGAGTTTCTTCAGAGCTTTATTCAGGAAAAGCCAATGTTGAAGTAGCATTGCTTTCGGAGGAAGGGTTGTGGAAGGTTACACATTTTATATAAAACCAAAGAAAGATAAACCTTTGGTACAAATAAGTAACAAAATTCACATAGTAGACAGTTGTGTTCTTTATCTACAATAGTCACCAATACAAAGAAATTAGATATAAAAGGTTTCTTGGTCAAAAGCTTACTAGGCATTTGGGGCATCTATTCCCTTATCACAAGAATGATCAAGTACAAAGAAAGTAAGTGTAAAGCTTTCTGGCTTTCAAGAGCTGCCATGATCATAAGAATGAAGAAAAAAAAAGACTATCAAGTTTGTTCTTCAGAACAGACATTTGAATAAAACCAAGACTTAGGGAAAAAAAAAATGCTCCACCACCAAGCATATTGCTATAGGGAGCACTGGGATAAAAAAAAAGAATGCAGCAGATATTTGAATGTTTCCTTATGCTACTTTTATGTTTTGAAGAAGTCTGGCTCAGAAAAGTGAGGTCAGTTTGCAGATACTATCTAAGGAAACAGAAAAATCTCACCGGTGGGATCATTTTATATTCATTATACTGCACGGTGACAGAGAAACATGTTCCTGAAGATGAAAACCAAACTCCCTCCCCAGAGAGCACCCTGAACATCTTCAGGAAATATTTATGCCCCCGGGTTTCCCCCCCCGCCCCGATGTTCTTAGTTTGTATTTCTCTGAGGGAGAGGGAGGCTCTCATGGAGGTACTTCATGCTCCCGTGCTCTGAGAAGTCAGAAACAACGTGATTGTCTCCCCTCAGCAACCACTTCGTAGTTAAAAGTCCTTCAATTCCCACAGGTCCACGTGCATGGATACGAGAAGTACTAATTCCCACTTCCGCACCTGCAGGGAACACGCAAGATGCGGGTAGTTAATCCCCAGAAGATGTTCGCTTCATACTAAACAGTTTTGCACCTTCACCTAAGAACAGCTGCCTGCCTTTCAGTGACCTGCCCTTCTCTGCTCCTCTCCAGACACCAGAACTTGTATTTACCTGTTCTGATTTTAACCTTGGAGGAGCTTAACCGTTACATTATAAATTGTAATGTTTATACTTCTGGCTGCTACAGAGTTACTTTTAGAGAGAAAGATGCAAGAGATAGGAATCTTTTACATGGATCTTAGACTTGTTTCCTGAGGGTTTAATCCTTAAAAAAAAGAGCCAAATTACTCAAGATTGTGATCTTATGTCCTTTCTTTGATCATATTGAGGCAATATTGCAAATCCTAACTAGAATTTTTTAATCACATGGAACACTGAATGTTCCAGGTGACACAGTAATAGCCTGCTATGGAGATTTCCGAGTTTCTACCTCAGGAAAGAAGGTTTCCTCTGTCTTCTGCAATTCACAGTAGGTGCACCTGTTTGTTTAAGCCACCGATACTCGGTTTGGTTCCTGCCTTTCATTCCTCAACACTGCAGGGCTGGCACACTGGGCAGCAGCTCAGTCTGCCCAGCAAGAACAAAGCACGTCGTTCTTTACAGCATCATTAGAAAGGTAAACGAAAGAAAACCTTTTAATCAGTTTCAGATCCTCTGTTGCATTGTTCTATCATTACATGCATGCAACATACGTTATTCTGACTGAAAGAGCTTCAAAGGATCCAAAACATCTTGGTTCCCTGCTACTAAATTAATCTACATAGTCTGTATAGCAGTATTAGCTAGTTCTGGCAGGGAAGAGATTAAATTATCTGCTGTTCCACGTGGATGACATGTCTAGGCTTCAGCTTTTCCTGTGGTACCTTTCCTGAAAACCTTCTATTAGACAGTAAGATCAGAGACTAATCCTATCTTCCAGGATTCAGACTGCCACACTTTTCACACAACAGCAAATCCTGCAGTGACATCCCTGCGGTATTTTCTCTCTTACCAAGTCCAAATCTATAGCCGTCCGAGAATCGAGTACTGGCATTCCAGAAAACGCAAGCGCTGTCCACATGCTGGAGGAAGAACTCTGCCGTTTTCTCTGGGAAAGAGGCAGAGAGAAAAATAAAATCCAGTACATACAGAATGATCACGCACTCCAGTAAACACAACATAATACAGTGAACAGGTATAACAACACAACTTTCACATGCAACCTTATCAGACGGTATTTAAACAGCCTGGGCTAAGACACGTTCATTTGTACCTTCTTCACAGTATGCTTATCAAGTAGACACAGCTGCAAATGTTACAAGACGCTTACGAAGATTAGAAGAAAGCAAAAAGATATCTAATTCTAAATACATCCAGTCTAGAACCTGCAAACAGGGATAGTTGTATGACTGGGGAGTCAGCTGCCCCAAACAACATTTTGCAGTCAAACTGAGACAGTTAAACTAGAGAGTCAGCTCTCCATTAATCTCAAACATGGAATTGTTCCAGATAATGAAAAATCCTAAACTAAATTGCTATTGCAGGTAATATTTGGGAAATATAATGCAGAAATACCACATGAAACCAGCTAACCGAGCCAGTTTAACACAGAACATGCAAGACCTGAACAAGCTCAAGCAGAGTTAGGCAAGTCTCAGTCCTCTGGAGGACTCCGTTCTCTGTAAGGCTGTGAGCTGCAGGTCAGTCACCCGTAGTGACAAGATGAACACTGAAGATCAGCTCTATTTCCAGTACACTGCCTAGCACATCACTAGTGCACCAGGTCCCATGGCAGCGGGTTACGGTACCAAATGCATGCCTTTTAGTGACACGCATTAAAGCTGGGCAGGAGGTACAGAAACACTGATCAGCCACAGACCAACATGACCTTACTGCAGCTGATCCTCAGGAGTTCCAGGCTTGGTCTGAGAGTCAACCTTTGGCTGGGCGCAGCTCTAGATAGGTTTTGAACTGGCACAGTGTTCAAACTGCATGCAGGGAGCGTAGCAGCACACAGCTGCACAAAGGAGCATAAGTTCACAACAAAGAGGCAAGAAACTGTGAAGTGAGATAAATGCAACTATTATACCAGGGATGCAGAAGTGGGAAGTAAAGGACTGGGAGAGGTAGGGGGAAAACATTTGTGGTCCTTGTTTGCAAGATATACAAATGACATGGGCAGACAAAGTGGATAAAGTCTGATCTTCCTTACAATCCCTATTCCCTCCAGTGAGATACCATAGGAGCTCACCTCATCAGCCTTCAGAGGCCTAAGGCCATCTCCAGGATTCAGGAGGTGTTCCTGCAAATCTCTATGATGCGGTAAGTCTGCACCATACAGGAACACAAAAGCAATTTTCCTGGCAAGAGCATGTGCTGACTTGCCATGGGCCAATTGCTCAAGCACATTCCTTAACATCCTGGAATAAGGGCCACACAACAACATGTTTTCTCTGAGCTAAACAGGATTGTAGGCACATTTAGCTCACAGGCCTCCAGCTGGTGATGCCCACTACAGACCCAAGAGAAGAACAACTACTGCAATGTAAGTAGGTACACTAACACCAAGAACCGGCAGTCAAACCAAAACAGTAGCTTACGGTAGCAGACCGATCACTAACCATTCTCTGTGATGATAACATCTGTGTGAGAACTTCCGTACTTGTGGATATGTTCAACAGCTTCTTGGACACTGTCCACCACCTCAATGCAGCACTCTAGGTCCCCATATTCTGTGCGGAGAGATTTCACTTCTGAAGGGCTGAATGTCAAGTAAGATGCAAACTTTGGGCCAGCATGAATCTTCACCTGCAATACCAGAAACATTTTGTGCTGCTGGCCATACCAATGCCTTCCAGGTAACAGTGCGGCTTCTTGTACTCTGTGTGGGATGGAGTTAATTTTCTTCATAGCAGTCCCTATGGTGCTATGTTTTGGACTTTTGACTAAAACTGTTGAAAACACACCAATGTTTTGGTCGTTGCTGAACAGAGCTTGCACAGTGTCAAGGCTTTCTCTTCTCCCTGTCCCCCCACCCCCCTAGCAAGAAGGCTGGGAGCGTGCAGGAAGCTGGGAGGGGACATAACCACGACAGCTGACCTAAACTGACCAAAGGGTAATTCCATGCCATATAATGTCATGCACAGCAATACAAACTGAGGAGTGGGGGTTTTGAAGAAAGTAGGCATTGCTCAGAGGCTGGCTGGGCATTGGTCTACTTGTGGCAGATGGTAATTAGCTATGCCTCACTTGTGTGGATTTTTGGGGGTTGGGTTTTGTTTTGGTTTTTCTTCTTTTTCCCCCCTCTTTTTCCCCTTTCTTATTCCTCTTCCCTTTGCTTACCAAACTATCTTTCTTTCAACTCACACGGTTCCTTGCTTTTGCTCTTGCTAGTCTCTCCCCCCATCCCACTTGGGGTGGGGTAGAGTGAGCAAGCAGCTGGATGGCTCTTAGCTACTGACTGTGGTTAACCCAAAACATTTGTGAATCAAGTGTTTACTGCATGCAGTGTAAGAAAAATACACCTACGCTTTGGGAGACAGCAGACTGGTGAACTAGCAACAAGGTACAATAGCTGATGTGCTACCTACCATGACATGCTCCTAGTTCAGCACTCATTTAAAATTTTTAAAGCAATCGCATTACTTAAGACAGAAAGTCATCAGGCAGGACAGTACAACACTAGTACTGGGAAGATAGCTAACATATTGCAGCCAGCCCTGGTTTTAAGAAAGCAACTGCAGTGCAGAGTAACTACAGGAATGCTTCCAAGTTTGCACCTACAAAAGACTTAAGATCTTGAATAGCTTTTACCCTTTTATTTTGTAAACTCATACCAGCCCTCTCTGAAGCGTGCGTTTCAGACACAAAGGACTTGCTGGGTCCAAACCAAGAAAACTCCCTTCCAACCCAAAACATTCTATGATCTGTGATCTAACACATTATCAACCTCTGAGTTTAATCTGAGGTTTAAGCCAAGACACCTAAACAATGGGAGATAATTTAGAACTGATACAGCCAAGAAATACCCATGCAAATGAAACACGGGAAATTTTGGTAAGACAAACATAAATGGGAAATAAGGCACAAGTCTGCAAAATTTGAAATTTGAATGGTCTTAAGACAGTATCTGTAAAACAGCATTTTCTTGTGAGTACTTGCTCCTGACTACCTATCAGCTCCTTTTACTGTGACCCTTTCAACATCATCAAAACATACGGCCTCTCTATTTTGCCTGCATTAATCATTGCCTGTACACTCTATTTGCCAGGTACATACTGCTGTGTGAAAATCCTTAATTTATGTGAAATTCATACCACTTTGTAGATATTTCTCTCCCAATGCATCTCTGCTACCTTTACTGACAAAACATCACCCACGTCCAGACAGCTAATTAGTATGCTGGCCTTTTGCTGTTCCTTTCACATGCTAGGAGGGAAAATAGGTGGGGATAAAGAGAATGCAAGGTGAAACGTTTAAAAAATGTGAATGAAGCAGATTCAGAAAGGAGAAAACCAGAAAGGAAATTCACTTGGGTAAGAAGCTAAATAGATTCAAGAAGAAGAGGCTTGGCATCCGGGAGGTTAACAGCAATTAAGTCAGAATTAAGAGAGGCAGAGAAAGGGTTGTGTATATGCTCCTCTAAAGCAGGAGATTGTTTTTGCTATATAAAAGGAAGTATTTTTATCCCAATAATGGCATGTAGCTGTCCTGAAGAAGCTGCTTTCAGATCATTTCTATGGAAAAACTTGGGGTTGCGTGGAGAAGCAGATAAAGTTTTCCATAAGTTCACTTAGGTGTGCAAAGAGACATATGGATAACTTAAGTGTTATGCCATCATAAAACTAAACAGGGCTACACCAGCCAGACCAAATGCTTCTAAAGTGTTAGGAAAAAAACCCACAAAACAAAACACAAGTATGAGTGACTAACCTGTTCTACTCTCAACATGTCTATGATCTGATCAAACAACGGGGTTCTCAGCAAGTCTCGATGAATTAAGAGAGTTTCCAGAGCATTACAGGCAGCAGGGTATTCACACTTTGAGTCTCTGACTGAGGTTTAAGAGTAGATAATTGGTTACATAACATTTACAACAAAGATTTTGAACAGCATATGAATTATAAATTACCAAAACCATATGGCATACTCCAAATACGATGTTCGATCACACCATTAGATTAAAGTCACCCTCCCCCAGCTTACTTATTCGTGTGACCTTCTCAACGCTGGCATCCGTGTCCACATACACATGACAGATCCCTTCGCTGTGTCCCATAACTGGGATTCCCTTAGCAGCTTTCTGGATATTCCTGACTAGCTGTGATGAGCCACGTGGAATGATGAGATCTATCAGCTTATCCAAACGGCAGAGATCTTCTACTTCTTCTCTTGTGTTCACCTGTGGTAGTTGCAATACAAGCAGTCTATGGTTTGAACAATCAAGTTCTGCCCATACTTTTTACACATACCATAGCAAAGACATTGTTGATTTAATTCTCAGCACTTACTAGTTGCACTGCATCTTTGATTCCGTGAATGGAGAGTGCTTCTTGTGTCAGATGATGAAGGATTTGAAAGCTACAGACACCTGTCAGAAAAGAATTTATTAAAAAAAAAATATATATAGTCTGTCTCTTCTGTCAGAACAACACCCACAAAACAGATTAAGAACAGGATTTTTAATCCTGTTGATTTATTCAATGTTAATCTACAGTTTTCACTTTATGGCACCAAAATATCATTACAACTAACAACACATTTAACTCCAGAAATGAAATGTCTTAGTGTTTCAGGAACAAACTTGAGTTTTCAGGGTACTGTTGGCAGGGGATAAGTCAGAGGAAACCCTGGACATAGGCTCTGGTATGAATTGGGTAGCTGTGTGGGCAATCATCCCAAGGAGAATAATTTTAGGTGCAACAACTCTTGTCCCTAACCATTCTGGATAGGAAGTGGCTAATGAGCTCTTCCTATGAGCAGGAAGAACATTTTCATTGTGCTCTCTGAAACAGAAGTTGTAATAGACGACACTTGCCATAAGTGTGGGAAAAAAACCTTCTAGACCATAGGCCCAGTATCACCTGTATCACTTTGCTTTCATGTTGTCCTGGTTTCAGCTGGGATAGAGTTAATTTCCTTTCTAGTAGCTGGCATAGTGCTGTGTTTTGGACTTAGTATGAGAATAAAGTTGATAGCAACAACTAAAACATCCATGTGTTAAGTAGTGCTTACACCAGTCAAGGACTTTTCAGATTCCCATGCTCTGCCAGGGGCACAAGAAGCTGGGAGGAGGCACAGCCAGGACAGCTGACCCCAACTGGCCCAAGGGGTGTTCCAGACCATATGAGTTCATGCTCAGTATAGAAACTGGGGGGACTTGGCTGGGGGGCGGCGATCGCTGCCTGGGGACAGGCTGGGCATTGGTTGGTGGGCGGTGAGTGTTTGCATCACTTGTTTTTCCAGGGGTTTGTTTCTCTCTCATAGTTTTCCTTTTAATTACACTTTTTTTTCCCCAATTACTAAACTGTTTGTATCTCAACCCATGAGTTTTCTTACTTTTGCTCTTCCAATTCTCTCCCCCACCCCCTGGGGGGCAGGAACGGGAGGGTGAGCAAGCGGCTGTGTGGTGCTTGGTCACTGACTGGGGCTAAACCACAACACATATTTATAACCAGAAGGAACTGACTGATACTGTTGCCTTTCTGTTTAAGGTGCAAGATTTCATCCATTTGAGAGCAGCAACACAACAAGACCATCTTTCAATAAAATGCTCCAAAAAAGCCACCGCTTTGGAAGTTCTGCTGTTGAAAACATATACCCAGTTTGTTAAATCTCCAGATGCTAGTTCTTATGGTGCTTTTGCCACTAAACTGAAAACCTCTTTAACAGAGGGGTGGTGGTAGTTTTTTTTACCGTTTGTTTCAGTTTTTTGTTCTGTTCTACCTAGCAGTGTGTCAGACATGATAAAGCTCTCTTCCCAAACCTATTTTACTTTTGTATCCCTTTGTCTTCCTCACCCCAATCCCACTCACAATGGTCTCACAATTTGCCCACCCATTTAAAAAGAAAAACAACCAAGCATACACTCCTTTAGAAAACAAAATCACATCCTCTCCAGAACCTTTCAGAACAAACAAATTAAGCATTTGAAGTTATTTTACTGTATTATTATCTTCTGAGAAAGCGCATGTGTATCATTATCATCATCTGTGCGTATCATCACCAAACCTGCACTCATTAGTTTATCAATTGTATGATGTTGAGATGTGGCTGCCAGAATCAGCCAGGCTCACACCTAACAAGCAGTTAGCTTAGTGGCACACTTTAGACGCTGATTCATACAGAAAAGCGTTAAGCCCATCAGATGTATCTCCTTTCTCCTTCTAATATCAAATGGACAGTGTTTTGACACTCTACCTCATCCTGATATCAGCAATTTGAAAAGAATATTGAAAAATAAGAAATACTTCAGGAAAATACACTAAAGTATAGTAGCCTAGGGAGCCTGCCTGACATAGATACTGTGTGTCTTTCTAACTCAGAAAACGACACATTTGCCTTGTAGGTATTAGAGGCAAACATGCTATTTGCATATCCTCATTAGAAGCTTATAAAATCTTAACTGATAATCTGCAATTGTTTCACCTTTACTGCAACTCTAGACTGATCTCTGAGCACTGACCTACATCTGCATAAGGTGTCTCCAGGGAGCAAATCGAGCACGCTCTCTTCCAGGGCGAAGCCAATTTCCCCTGTAGTTGCTTACCCAAACAAGCATGAGATGCAGTAGTAAACTATGAGGAGGGAACTGCTCCTCTGCACTCAGAGACCATCCTACTATCAGCTACAGCATGGGACAGAAACCATGCAATTCAAACACAGAGGTATCAAAGATGATCCTCTGAAGTTGCATCAGAAAACCTGATGTGTGTATGAGGACAGGAGGCTGGCAAGAAGAAAAGCAACTACCACGACAAGCTATTCCAAGTCTGTAGAGCAAAACTGGGAAGAAAGTCAGCAAGAGTCAGTCTGGTGTAAGTTTTAAGATAAGATAAAGGAGAGGAGAGAGAGGGAGACATCAGCTACACAAGACAAGAGACCGAGGTTGAAGTCCAGGAAGACAGACTATAATTCAACAAGGAAACATACTGGTTATCGACGAAGAACAGAGCTAGTAGCAAGGAGCTAATAATGGTAGACAGGGGAGACTCATGCCTCTTTGTTTCATGGGAACTTTACCTAGAGCATACTCCCTTTCAGTGTGAATGGGGACCACTCACAAAATTCAGGCATGAAGTACCAAGCTGTCCACTGGTTGAGTCTCAGTTCCCTTTAAAGTGCCAGTACCCATCACTTTCTCCTCAAACACTTGCTCATATGTTAAAGAACTCTTCAATCAATCCTCCTAGACACCTAATGATAATTGTGGGAAATAGTGTTGATAATGAAATTTTTTTAAAATCTACTACAATTCCTCACTGAAGTAGTCGGCAGTTAGAAAACAAGATCAAGGTTGCCTCTGCAACGTTAGCTCAGCCCCCATATTTTCATGCATCGTAACAGCATTTACTCACAGCAATATTCCCACAAAGCGCTGCAGATTTGCAGTATTTGCCTTTAAGATGCCTGACACAAGATAAACGACATTCTCTTACAGAACACTACTGAAGATTTTCATTAGCCTTTCCAGCAACTTCAGTACTTAGGAACTTAGAACACCATTATTTGTCATACCCATCTCACTACAACTGAGTAAAAGCTATCATTCTGCCTCACTGCACACAAGCAGTATCAGTACAGGACAGACCACTCAAAGCCTGGAAATTCCATGCTTTCTGTGCTCAGCCTTTTTAATTTTGGGGGGGTTTTATCGTGTATTCCTAACAGTTACAGTTAATTACTAGCATCTGTATTAAATAGTTCCTGTTTAATCCCAGCCTGTGGTTCAGCTGTATGCAGCATGGGCAGAAAAGGAGCCTCCCAAATTGCACTTGGCACAGAACATACATTCGTAAGACTCACGCAAGGAACTGCACCATCTGAATGTAAGGTAACTCCTTCTATATGTCAGGTTTAAAAAACAAAACAGGCCTCAATAACTCTGAACCAGTGTCAGGAAGCAACTCCTGAGAACATCCCTGCAGGAAAAATAAGGATGCCAACAAAATCAATTTTAGAAGAACCCAAGCAAGAGTCCTTTGAGATGAGACTTCTTGCAGCCTCCCAATTGCTCACCAACAGAAACACCCTTTCTTTTGTCATCAAAGAATTCCCAACAATGTAACCTGCCCTCCTTACATACCTGTGGAAGACAGTCAGGACGGGACTCGAAGATCACAAGAAGGACACCAATAGGCACCGTCACCTGCTCCAAATCCAGGTCTTTTGCTATTCGTGTTCGCCGAATTACACGGCCGACACTGTCCTGTGAGGATGCTGCAATCTGACGCAGACCAATAGCCAAGCTGTTCAGCTTTGATGTAGACAGACTTAGACGTTTCAACAAAGGAAGTGCCAATCTCCCTATAAGAAAGGAAAAATTGTGCTGGAGATGGATTGGTCTGCCTACGCTCAAGCAAAAGCTACTTAAACAAGTGGTGAACCTAAGGAAAAATGCAGGTATTTCCCACGCCCTAGCAAGAAACCTACCAGAGATTAAAAATGTATTAAGTCCGGTAGCCACAATAAAACCACTCAAATGTGATGATGATTTCACCTACCACCACATTTTCACTTAATGCAGTTTAAGTGATTTGTACATGAAGCAACAGCAACATCCACAAAGATAAGGTTTGCCCTATTTCAAGTACTGCTGTGTGTCTGAATTTCTTAAAAATTTCTACCCTTGCAGTATTTCTGGAAGGTTCGGCCAGTAATTTCATCTTTCTGTTTTACAGATAGAAATCCCAAAGCACAGATGCACGCACAGCATTTCTGTTCAGACTGGGCAAGAACTGCTGGAATTTTCTCGTCTGAACACGTTCAGACAGTAAGTTAACCCAGCAAGATCCCCTCAAGTACTCTGGTCAGTAAAAAACTGTTCCCTGGAGTCTTCCACAAAGTATTAGAATTCACGATGTGTCATTTTTGTACATTTGCTATCCCTATATGTACACATCCCAATCCCAACTTCTCAATGAATGAATCAATCTAACAGAGGAATGGGTTTAATCCAAACCACCTAAAGAGAACCTTCCTCAATCCATAGGGCACATGGTTCTTTCTGGAGAGCATCAATTTAAGTATAGAGATGACAGCCTTCCCCTCAGGAGCCAAACATTGTCTTAACCAGCCCAGAAAATATTCACTTTATGCATGACAATAACAGAGACTGTCTGTTACATCCCATTTCTAAAGGGAGCCTCCTTTGGCAAAACAGAGCACTTTTTTTTTTTTTTTTCTCTTCTCAATAAACCTCTTGGTGTTTTGCAAGGCCTCAGTGTCTTCTCTGATGAAGGTATCGTTTTTATGTAATTAAGGAAGCTGCAGCTGTTTACACTGACAAGCTCTCGGGGTCCTGGGTTCACTTACCTGTGACAGCCATACTACCCAACCACAGGTGACAGAAGATTCTAGTTCTGCTCATTTCCTTTGAGGCCCAGGGAGGTTCAAAACAATAGGATTGCCATGGAAGGACTTGAAATATTACCTTTATTTTCAGCCTCTTCTAAGTCCTTTTTGTTTGCTAAGAGAATTTCTTCTCTCTGGTCAGTTAATAAGTCAGCAAGACGATAAATAATCTCCGCTCTCTGAAAGAGAAAACAGCTTCTGAATTGACTTCTTACACAAAGTCCATGCTATCTGACATCTGGTCCCCTTCAGTTGACCACATCCTCTCACTGTCTTGACTCCCCGAATACTTGGGTCCAGCTGATGTTTCCAGCCTGCATCACATTGAAAAGTGAGGCTGAACACTGCTTCAATCTTTACCTTTCTTTTTATTATCTTGCTTTCCATGTGCAGTCTTCTTCACCAAACCCACAATGTTCTTCCTTTAAGACCACCTTGTCTTCTTCACAACAGAAGCCACATTTTACCTACCCAGCTGCAGAGCAGTAATTGATTGTCTACAGCTCCTCTTTTGCATACACTACACACAGGAGTGAGCGGAGCAAGTTATTCCAGCCAATTCTTCAGCAGCTCTGACCACAACTCATTTCTGTGTGATATCTGACACGAATAAAATTTTTATAAACCCCACATGAAAGCATATATTACTTCATAGCTCCAAGGTACAATAGCTTTCTGTTTTTCTCCTCTTTTTAAGCATGCTGCAATCCAAATGGTGGATTTGGGACACAAAAACCAGATTCTTGTCCCAGAGGGCTCATTTTTGTTATAAATCTGTGTTGTAAAACTTGCCACACATTCACAAGCTTAACAAGCGAGGCCATATTGTTCTGTCACCTGCCCGGGCTGTAGAGCCGCCAGGGTCCTGCCACCAGCTCGAGCCATTTCACCCTGCTGCTCTACTGTGGGACCTGCAAAAAAACCCAAAATATGCCATGCAGACAAAGTAACAGCACATGTGGAAGTGAACACTAGACCTTCCATCTTCCAATTCTTTGCTCAAAGCAGGAAAGCAGGTACAGAGTCTTAAACAGACATAGTCAAGAAATCTGTTTTATGCTAAAACAGGAAAATCTGTACCCGACACAAAAATACTGCTATGTTCCCCAAAAGTAAAGAGTCATCACAGAGATTCTGTAAGGTCACCATGTTGGAGGCAAGTCTGCACCATGCATCAAAAAGACTTGACCAAGGGCAAAAGAACACCAGGATAGCTAAGTCTCAGGGCACGGTAGGCTATGGAAATAAAGGAGGCAAACTCTGAGAAGTTTAAGTATCCGAGTGAGGAAAACAGAAAGGCTTACAAAACAGCATGGGAAGGTACAAACAATAACGGAAGACAAAACCCAATCTGAGTATGGGCTTGCAGAAAAATTGATTTCCCTCTGTCTCCCCCATCTGCATTTTAGAAGGGTTCTTATAGAAGAAAGGTGGGGGGTTTTCTTTTTTTTTTTTTTCCTGGCAAGACCTCAAGAAATCTGTCTCAAACTTAAATGATATGGCTACTTCTGTTTCTGTTTCAAAACAAGTCACCAGGTTCAGGTAGCATTTCCCCAAGAGTTTGCAAGTAGCTCACGGATAAACTAAGTTGTGATTTTTAACTCTCCTGAAATTGCCTGTAAAACAGGTGATAAACATGACCCAACTTCTATTTAGGAAGGGTCCCATGGAAATTGCCAAAGCAGTAATTCCAATGTTATGGAAAATATCAAGAGGTCTAGTGGGAAGGTAAGAAAAGAGCTTGTGGACACATGATTAATTAGACTTATTTAAGAAGTGTTAAAGCAGCTTTTTAAAGTAAAGTCATATTTTACAAAGTATGGTATGTTTTGGTGTTCTTTGAGAAGAGTGACATGTCTGTAAGCAGACATAGTCAATTTTAAAAAGTTACTTGAATTTCCCATGTGTGTTCTTTGGAAGATAGAAGACAAAAAGAGCATTGGAGTAAACACTTGCCAGAATAGCAGAAGAGTGCCAGTAAAATTCCACCGGGATTTCATTGCTTGACGTACTTGTAAGTGACTCGGAATGGGGTCACAAGATGAAAAGGTTTACTGCTGATACAAATTTATTACAGTGGGACTAACCGAAAAGTGTCATTATTGCACTTTTTCCTAGAAAGGAGCTTTTCGGAGGACGACACAGGGGTCGTGGTGGACACCAAGTTGAACACAAGCCAGCAGCACACCCTTGCCGGAAAGGTGGCTAACAGTGTCCTGGGCTGCCTTAGGAGGAGCGTTGCCAGTGGGTCGAGGGAGGGGATCCTTCCCCTCTGCTGGGCACTGGGGAGGCCACGCCTGGGGGGCTGTGCCCAGTGCTGGGATCCCCAGGGCGAGAGACACATGGATGCTGTGGAGAGAGTCCCAACGAAGTCCCATCGCAAAGATGATGAAGGGGCTGGAGCATCTCTCATATGAGGAAAGGCTGAGAGCGCTGGGACTGTTTAGCCCGGAGAAGGCGGCTCGGGGGGGATCTCACCAGTATGTACAAGTACCTGAAGGGAGGGTGTAAAGAAGATGGAGATGGGCTCTTTTCAGCAGTGCCCACCAACAGGACAAGAGGCAACGGACACAAACTGAAACACAGGAGGTGCCTCTCATCAGGAAGCACTTTTGCACTGTGAGGATGATCAAGCACTGGCACGGGTTGCCCAGGGAGGTGCAGGAGTCTCCATTCTTGCAGATATTCAAAAGCTGTCTGGACACAGTCCTGGGCAACCTGCTTGAGCAGGGCATAGGACCAGATAACCCTGTCATCTGTCATACTGTCCCTTCCAATCTCAGCCATTCAGCAATTCTGTTATTTCTTCTGCAGCCAAGTCAATAGGCCACAAAACAGCAAGTGCAATTCAAACCAGATAAAGAAGCAGCAATGTAGAGGGGAAAAGGAAAATCAGACCTTAGTATTGTAACAAATAGTACTATGAAAACATCATTTCAGTGAACATCAACATATTTGGGATTATCAGAAAAGGCCTAGAGAACATAACAGAAAACATCATCAATCTTATCAAAACTCAGTTAGTCTTGCCATCTCATAAATTAAAGCTTGACTTGCATCTTGAACACTGTGTGAAATTTTGACTTTTGCCCATCTCAAAAAGGCCACAATAGAATGAAAACAGTTTTGAACAAGGGAAATGGTGATCACCAAGTTTTTGGAACAGCTTCGGTACAAAATGTCTAAGACCAAACCTCTTTCACGTGGAAGAGAGATGATGAGGGAAAAGACGATGCCTCACGTCGTCAAAGTTAAACAGGGGTTGATCTGCCTATACAGGCAGTAGGAGCATCAAATGAAGCTATCAGGAAGAAAATTCAAAACCTTCTCCAAACCCCCAAACCCAAATTAAAGGAAGCAGTTCTTCACATAGTTCTAGCTCCAGAGTTTACACACAGTATCTAGTTAAGGCTCTTAACTATTGTGACACAGAGCCCTGTGGATGCTAAGTCTTTACATGGGTTCAAAGGATGATTTGACAAATTCATACAAGAAATCCCTTGAGGATTATTATACATAAAGAAATTTGCTTGGCTTGAAGTGCAAGTCAAAAGTATCACTCTGTACTTGGCCTATTCTGCTAAGGTCACAAATCTTTGGTCTCACTCTCCAGCGATTCTTACACCATCCCAACATTGCAGTAGCAGGAAAACATTCCTACCTACCACACCAGAAGACCGTGCCATAAAAGAAATTCATGGTAAGAAATAAAACTAAACAGTCTCTTAGTTCAGCAGCACATTCTATGCCCACGTTTTCACACTGAAATCTTCAATACCAGACGATAACCCCTAAGACTAAAAATGGTAAGAATTCTACTCACTGCATTCCTCAAACGCAAGTCTGATGCAGCAGTTTATCAGCTGGAGGGAACCAGAGCAGAGAATTCAACATTTTCTGTTCCTACTTTAGAAAATACCTTTCAGAAACCATTTTTCAATCAGAGCATGGTTTCCCAGTTATTGTATAGGTCTAGTCAAATTTTAACTCTTAACCTTTCAGGAAATCTCTACAACTTTCAATGTATACATTACCTCTGTACTCACCTGCAGGTTTTACTTCTGAAAAAAAAGTTCCAACTTTTTTCCCTTCTACAATATCTGTGATGACATGACCTGAGATTTTTGGATGGGTTCCATTTGCAATCACTACAGAGGTGCCTCCTTGCAGGGCCCACAGAGCTGCTTTCACCTACAGTGAAGGATAAAGCCAGTTCCAGGAAAATCACTTGCTATTTGAATCACCACTCTCAACAAGACTTGTTGCTCCACTGTGATCTCCAGTGTGATCACTTATGCTTTCAAAGAGCATTCAACACACTTTCAGGATTTTCCATAATGCAGCATTGAATGAGATCACATATTTGCACTTTACCTTCCCTTCTCTAACTAGCTGCCACTTTACAAGCATACTTCAAATTTTCCTAACAGCCTGGTTTTTTAGAACTTCTGCAAGGGCACTTTGGTCATATGTTCTTTTTCACCATTACCTTATGTTGCAAGTTCTTCTCACTGTTTGAAGAAACTCAATTTTCTTTTTTGAAAATATTCTGTTGCCAATTCCCCTGACATTGATTAGCCATCAATAATTAATCCACTTTAAGTGACCACATGATATTACTTGTACTGCAGAACACTGTTCAGGTCCTAGCCATTACCATGTAGCATTAAAATATTACTCAATACCTTTAGCTGCCTGAATTACTTCATTAAAGTTTGATCAGCCTAAGCATTCCTCATGGGTCTGCTTAAGATGTACAGGTATTCTTATTGTCTATAACCCTTTGGAGAAGCTACGAAGTTTGCTGAAGAGTTACTCAGGTTTCCACACAAAGTTTTTACCTACTTTGTTCACATTTCCTGTTCATGTTCTCATCAGATTTTTTTATTTATTTGCTTCTACTTTTTGCTAGGGAGTACACCTATTGTCTTAATAGTTGTTTCTTCCAGTAGGCTCTATCTGAAGACTTTGCACTTCTTCAGTTTTCAACTATATGCTTTTTATTTGGCATTCTTCCCCCTTTTTGTCGTTATTTTGGAGGAGGATTCTTTAAGTACAGCATTTAGGAGTCATCTTCAAAGGTCAGGACTGCAGCGTACTACGCAACATATAGGAGCAACGTGCATAAGATCTAAGACAAAAAGCCAGTCTGAAACAAGAACAATCTGATGTCCACAGACAGATAGGATCTGAAGTCAATGATACTACCAGATCACCTGCATGCTGAAGGCTGTCAAGGAGACGGGCATCATGATCAACAAGAGCTCTATGAAATTTAGGGGCAGTTTCTCTGTAGGCATTGCCCTAACATGAAGGGCAACATGAGTTCCCTTTCTGAACTTCAGTGCTGGCACACTGAGGTTCACTTAGTCCTTCTACAGAATGTTAAGCTTACAGCAGGATTAGCTTATTAGTAAGGGTCCTTTGAAATCCCCATGTACTGATTAGTCCTAAGAGCAGCCTCTTTCCAGACACTTGAGCCGTTGTTTAAGGCACCACAACATCGTTTCTCTAAAATTTCCACCCCTCCAACATTTCACTAGTTCATGCCAAAATACAAATACACAAACCCAAATCCCAGGTGTTACTTGCTGAAGAGGTACTACCTGTGGTATCCTTTGGTTTTTTTCCCCGATCAAGGTGTGAGCAGCATTATCCCACCACTATATTTAATTATGTGTAACTTATTTTACTGCAAAAGCTTCTCTGCTTCCTCACTTCTACACTTCCCTAATAAGGCTCTACAATGAGGTGTTACAGTCCGTATTCACTGGGAAACACCACCTGTCAGATATGCCTGTTGCATCAAACTCCTGACTACCACAAGACCACCGACGGCTCCACTTTTGCTCAAGTTTATGCTCATAATCAAGATTTGTACTTGGAGCTACCATCTGTTTATTCTATTATTGAGGTTACAGATTTCAAAAAACAACACATAATTCTCAACAGTAACGAATTTTTGTTAGAACAGCAGCATTGAGATTTGCCTCTATGTGACTCAGACTCAAAGATACCAAATATCTCTAACAGATCATTATTTTTACAAGACAAGTACTCTCTGACCTTGGCAGCTTTCCTCTCAATACCTGGAATCATTTAAACCATCCAGAATCCAGATCAAGGGAAAGTTGTTTCTAAATAAGCTCTATACATCCCATAGTTACAAACAGAACACGCAAATGCCTCCTCCTTTTGCCACCTTCCAGTCCACGCTCTGATACTGAAGTAGACCTTACCTGATTCTTCAGAAAAGGAAATAAAACATAAGATAACTGGTGACGAATTCCACTTTGGTCTTTCCCTGTTTAGTCAAAATCTACTTCAGTTTTCACAGACAACCTTCCAAAAGCATCTTTAGGAAATCCACACCAATTAATACTACTGTAGTGTATATCCCAGCATCATGAGAGACATATGCTGAAGTCTCATGCCAGACTCGTGTTTATTGCACTCACAGCAATGAATACTGAGGGCACCTGACTGTACACAGGTTTTAAAACCATTGGCCCTCCTATGTCTACTAATCTTGTACTCAAGAGCTAAACTACCTTGGTCTCCACCAATATATCCTTCAGAAGCAAACAGCACACATTCAAACTCAGAAAGGAGACAGAGGTATCACATCAGATTCAAGTGACAGGGATTCATAAGTCTTTGGATTATCATGTAAGAAAGAAGTGAGGACCAACTCTTACTTTAATTCACCAACTTAATACAGTTCCAAATGTCACATTTTACAAACTACTGGAATGTAATTCCTTAGTTGCTCTTTTCAGTTTACATGGATGTAAGAGAGAAGCTAAGGGAACCCATGCACCATATCAGGGTAGTCACAGAATAGCTGAGGCTGGAAAGGATCTCTAGAGATCATACAGTCCAACTGCCTGCTCAAAGCACGGTCAACTAGAGCAAGACACTCAAGACACTGTCCAGTCAGGTTTTGAACATCTCCAAACATTGAGATTCCACAAGCTCTCTTGGCAACCTGCTCCAGCATTTCAGCAACCTCACTGTAAAATTCTTAGATTTCAGTTTAATTTCTTGTATTTCAGCCTGTGCCCTTTGCCTCTTGTCTGTTCCCTGGATACTACTGAGGAGAGTCTGGCTCTAACCCCCTCCCTTCAGTTATTTATACACAAACCTTCTCTTCTCCAGGGTAAACAGTCCTAGCTCTCAGCCCCTCCTAGTGTGACAGATGCTGATATTCTTTAATTATATCCATGGCATACTACAGTGAATCCAACAGAGAGTCACGTACTGCGGTGCATGGAACCAGATACAACTCTACAAATGTGGTCTCACTAGGGCTGAGTAGAGGGAAATAATAATTTCCCTCGACGTGCTGGCTATGTTCTTTCTAATGGAACCCAGGATGCTGTCGGCCTGCTTTGCCCAAAGGGCATATTGCTGGCTCACATTCTACTTGGTGTCTACCAGGACCCCTATGCCCTTTTCAGTGAACCTGTTTCCCAGCCAGTCAACTCCCCAGCCCATACCAGTGAATGGAGTTGTTCCTCCCTAGGCGTAAAAGTCAGCATTTCCCATTATTGAACTCCGTAAGGTTCCTGTCTGCCCATTTTGGCAGCCTGTCAAGATCCATCTGAATGGCAGCACAACCATCTCGCCTATCTCCCTTTCCCACATCTCCCTTTCCTTCCCAATAACAAAACACATACTCCATATTTCTACCTTCGCTTCCATGCCTCCCATTCCCACGCGGGATTTGGTTCCAAATGTTACAGACTGCTGGTCTCCTGGGTAGAATATGTCAATGAGCTTTGCATCATCAGATCCTGGAGGGCTGTCAAAGAGTCCTGAAATAAAAAATAAAAATCTGTTAGTGTTACATACCCTCATCTCCAAAGCTCTCATTAAAAAAAAAAATAAAAAAAAAAAAAATCCATGAAGCTGAAAAGCTGCATTCCCTTTACAGGATTGAAAACTTTCACTGAACCCTGCTTTTTGTGGGACTGAAAGCATGAAACACTTAACAGGAAGACTCAAGAAGTACAAGTCACATGGTAATTGTCCCTATAAGAGATATGAACTGAAGAGATCAGTAAAATCTGAATATATGTTGGTTTGACTATCTGATGTACTTCAGTAAAACAAGAAAGTAAGAAATGACTTACAAACCTTCTACATCTGAAAGAACAATCAGGAGATCAGTTTTCATTTCCACAGCCAGTCGTGCTGCCAGACTGTCGTTATCCTTCACACTAATCACCTGCAATGCACACACATAGCAGCAGCATTGAACAGCAGGAGGAACTAGGAAATATTCGGCTGCAACACACAAAAGCAAGCTACCTCGGCACTACCAGTCCATCTGAGCTACTTCGTTCACACTGACTGGAAACTTAGAAGGTGATCTTTGTGTGGTAGTACATATGCTTTTGGAATGCAGTAAAGCAGTATCAAAATGACAAGCAGTGTGATCAGTACCTGCATCCTCCGCCTTGGTGCCCAGTGACAGGACAAGAGGTACTAACTGACCCTGTTTTAAGCAGGGGTGCTGGACTAGATGACCTGTGGAAGTCCCTTTCAACTTCAACTATTCAGTGAAAACCAAACTAGGCATGCTTGCTTTTGGCAAAGCAGACACCATCTGCCCTGCTTCCACCCCACAGCACTGTACATTGCCAGAAACAGACAGGTCAGCATAGTCTTCTAGTACCCTCTGTCCACATTACTTATTTTGTGTGTTTGCTTCCCTGCTGCAGGGTTTAGAGGTCCCTGTGAAGCACACATTAGCACTGTACCATCTACAAGCAGGATCCACCCCCTTGCAATACTTTACCCACATTTACCCCCTGCAGATCACTGTTCGGCTCTGGAGGTGGAACAACAGCATCATTAGTGTTGATTATAGGGACAATATTCATTCTTAAAAGCTCATGCAATGTTCCATTTAAGTTCCGACGCTTCTGTTCATCATGGAAATCCAGGTTGGTGACTAAAATCTAAAAGGAGGAAAAAAATTAACACATACTTAGCCTACCACTTTTCCTGAGAAGAACATCACAAACATATGCATTAACGTATCATAACAGATCAGTCATGCCCTTCGGGTCACTAAAGAAACATAAGCCACATTTAAAGGATAAAGAATACAAGCGAGAGAGATTCTTTGCACAACATTTTCAGGTTTATATGCCTTACCTTCCACTGGAGCCTATAATGGCATTTCTCAAGCTGACAGATCACAGGCTCCAGGAATCAACTTGGAAAAAAAACCACACGCAGAACATAGATGCTGATGATAACACCTAAGACCCTAAACAATTCAACAGATTACTCAAGACACTACCTTTCTCGTCTTCAGTCCCGGTGTAATGTTCCTGCTGTCTCAAGCAGAAGGGATGCTTTGACTCAAGACTTCTCTTCAGCTCTAGAAGAATCTTGGTCTTAAAGCCTCCTGCATATAGATACCACCCCATTCTTTTTCATATTTTAAGACAAAAAACCTCAATGTCTGCTCTGAAGAGACTTTTTTTTCGTTTTCACTCTGCCATTGGACATTTGAGAACAAAGCAAACAACTCCACCACACATATGTTACAATGGCACTTGGAATCAATGTGACTGCTGACATTTTTGTTATGGACAATTAATTCTTTTAAAGCAAAGGAATGATAGTTGTCTGCAGACTTGAACAAGATTATAATCCAGTGCAACCTATAGTGATTGTAAACAGTTTAGTGATATCAGCTATACTGTATTACAAGAAGAAGTTCCTCCAAGCGAGACTACTTCATACTAGGCTCCTAAATTCATTAAAAACGTCTAAACAAATAAGGCCTTACAATTGATGCAATTCTGTATTCCCAGAGTATTTAAGATAAGCAAAGCCCGTTTAAGAGTAGTTCAATTAATACAGTTGCAGCATTCAATATTGGTAGAAGACCCAGGCCAGGGATACCATCACCCACAGGTTAGAAAGGTTTGAGGAGCAGACAGACAGCAAGTTCTGATGTGGGGGTATGCACTTCTGTCAGCTTTACAGAACGTGTGGCAGTTGAGCCACTTGCAATTTTTAAACTCTCGCTTTGGATCACCAACTTCAGCTTTTGTGAAGAGACCTTAACAGACCCTGCCCTGTACACAAGAGCAGGACACACACAAACTCCAAAAAGAAAAGGCACATTTGCTTCACCTTGATGACAGATGACTCAATTTCAGAGTAACTTAGCAAGGCACTCCTGTATAAACTACCATTCATGCTATAGTAATAAGCCCCAAAAGTAGGATGGCAATGGAAATGCAAGACTACAGTAAAGACAGCAGCATATAAAACATGGAAAAAAATCCAAGCATAATTCCGTCACTGACTGAAGTAGCAATTCAGTCTAGGGAAGAAGAAATCCCTTACTTGAGCTGCACAGATGCTGTACTGCGTAAACATGGCCTCATACAGAGCCATTAGTCCACTCTGGCCAGCGGCTGCACAGGCTGGAGCCTCCAAGACTGGTATAGCCTAGCAAGATAAAGAACAGCTGTCAGACAGCGACCTGAGCAGGTACTACCCAACATTCAAGGAAAAGCAGGAAGGCACCCAGCCACTCACCATGTCTTTTAGCTGATTCTGGCCTGAGTGAAGTGCTTGCCTCACACTCTGAGAAAGCAAGATCTCATGACGCAACCGCTGCTTTCCAAAAGCTACGGCACCACTGGTGACAATCATCATCTCTCGGCCCTGATTTTGCAGCATTGACACCTGTAAGCACAGAACATATGGAAGAGGGCCTAGAGTACGATTGCTGCTAGCATGACAGTTCTGGCTGTTACAGATAACCTTACGCTCACCAGTTCGTGCTGACACAAGTGTCTCGCTCTACCCATGGATCACAAAGCAAGGCAACCACCCTCTAAGATACTCTTGCGTGCCTTCCTGGCCACTTAGGAGCTACGCAAAGGACTGCAGGAAATCTATGCCTTCCGCTAAACTTTCTTTTCACAATACCAGTTTTTATGAGAGCCATGCTTGAATTTTCACAATACGTGTTACGTGGTAACACTTCTATACCCCTTGCCCCTCCGCCTCCATTGATACGGATAAGGAGAGATAAGATATGAAAAAGCTGTAAAGTAGCAGCTGTACCTTCCACCAACCTTCTCATTCATCATCCATTCCTAAAGCTGCCATTATACAGTAACTTGATATTCTAGGAATGAAGAAGCTAACTCCGATAGTACAGCTTTCAATTGCTTCTTCCGTACATTTATCTGGCCAGATTTCCTCTCAAAGCTCTAAAGCTAAATGTCTTACATTAATTTAATTTATTACGTTAACTTTACTTCCCAGAGAACGCATATCCCCCCAAAGTCATAATTTCATTTTGGAGAACCAATCCATAAGTTGATCCCATCGGTTTTTCATACAAGTAACGAGGTTTCAAGCTTTCTCTTGAAGGAAATTTGCAAATGCTCAGGTAATCAAGAAGGGTCTATTCTTTCTGCAGACTTCACAAACTTCAGTGCCACCTTCCCACTAGATCCAGCTCTGCCCCAGTCATGTCCTACCTATTGCACAAAAATCTCACTGTGCAAATCTCTCCTTTATACCAGGTCTGGTCAAGATGGAGTTAGTTTTCTTCATAGGGGCCTATATGGTGCTGTGTTTTGGATTTCAGGACTAAAACAGCGGTGGTAACATTCTGATGTTTTGCCTATTGCTAATCCATGCTTGCACAGCATCAAAGCCTTCTCTTTTTCCCATGCTGAGCAGTACTTGCACAGCATCAAGGCTTTCTTTTTCCTCACTGTGTCCCATCATAGCAAGTGGGTTAGGGGCTGGGCAAGAAGTTCAGAGAGGACACATTTGAGACGGCTGACATGAACTGGCCAAAGGGGCATTCCATACCATATAACATCATGCTCAGTAATCAAACTGGGGTAGCAGACTAGGAAAGGGCAGCAGGTTGTCTTCCAAGGTGGCTGTCACTCGGGGACTAGCTGGGTGTCGGTCTGCTTGTGCAAGGTAGTGAGTGATTGCCTTAGCATCACTTGTTTCTTTTTCCCTTTTCTTCACTTACTAAACTGTCTTTACTTCAACCCATGAGTTTTCTTACTTTTGTCCTTCCTATTTTCTTCCCAATATGACTGATAGTAGGGCGAATGTGTGGGGAGTGAATGAGCATCTGTGTGGGTGCTTAGCTGTAGGGTCAACCCACCACACCTTCCAACACCGATTTAACTGAGTTACAGGATGTATATTCCCACAGCACAGCAGAATGAAAAAGGGAGAGGCCAACACATTGCTTTAAAGGGCCATCACTGTTTTATGAGTTTTTCCTAGTCTTCTGCTCCATCCAACAATCACTGAGTATCTGAAGTTAGAACCAACATACCACTTTGGTCACAGGATTACCTGCTCTACGATAGATGCCAGCCTCCCAAGGGCCAAGCCACACTCATCCCCTCGAGTCACAACAGCGCTACCCAGCTTCACTACAATCCGCTTTGCATGCTTCAGCTCACTGCGATGTGCAAATGATTTTCCATGTGCACGGCTAAGTGGCATGGTGATAAATGGGATGTTGCTCCAACAACGGATGGATTCATTCCTTAATCTTTGGTTATGGTGAGGGAGATCTGTAGTTAAAGAAAGAAAGGAAAAAAAGGAGGCAGTTTTAAAGTTTGTCATTCAGACTCTAAGACCTTGAAGTAATGTAACATTTGCTCCCTTCCCAAGGCTAGAGCTCACAATGCACACTTCTCAGCGACTGCTAGCTTTCAAGTCACCAAAATAAAGTGAGAACCAGTAATATCTGAGCAGCACTAATCATCCCTAAGGCATGTAAGGCAATAATCCATGTGCCACAGAGCTTTAACTTCAGGAATCTAGAAGACCAAACTGAAGGACACTGTAAAAAAGTCCATACAGCTCACATCCCAAGTACTAGTTTTAAATACAATCTCCTTTGCCTTGCCTCATTAGATACAGCCAGAGAGTTTTCCTGCCTGTAGTAACGCAGAAAGCTTGACTGTTAGGAAAGAAAAGAAACAGCTTTTACAACATCTCTAAGCCAGGTATTTTTGCACATTGCTCAAATAGGGGCAGAAGAAGGGGGATGACAGGCATACAAAGGGGAAGTCACCTTTCTACAGGATAAATAGGCGTTGGAGGGAGAAGTGACAGTCACAGCATTACTCAGGTAAGATACGAGATACACAAGGCTGGCGCTTGGCCCAAGTCAATGAGCTGGGGAACATTTCTCAGCAAAACCTTTGTTTTCAAAATGCCTGCAAAGGACAGCAAGACCACTGTCAGCACAGCAGATTAAAGAGAATAGTGACTATTAAGGTACAATCACAAGGAACAGCCTGGATCCTTTCCAATTGACAAAGAGGTGGACCCAAACACGTAAAGTCCCAAAGTTAGGCTGAATGAATGAAGGCAGATGGAAAGCACTTCCAACATACTTTGTATGAAGTTTAGCAGAGCCACAGTGAATTGCACCTGAAGGAGTCGTCGTGCAGCTAAGAATACCTGCAGTCCGAGTACGTCAACTGGATAACTAATATAACATGGATAAGCCATCTTACTTGAAAAAAATCTGAAAACACTTTTCCATATCCCCCCCTAGTTCTTGTATTACTAGTCAGAAACTGCATTAAACCAGGTGAACTTTTAGACAGTCTCAAAAATACCAGTATAGCATAAGAAGTGGGAGAACACTTCTGACATAATTACAGAAAAAATGGCTACCGACACCACACTCTGGGACCAAACGTGCAACTTAGTCAAAAGATGGCACACATTCATGGAAAAATTACAGAGATCATATTGGGTGCTATGGAAAGGCATTTAAGGAACAATGCAATCATCAGGCACAGTCAACACGGGCTCACAAAGGGCATGTCCTGTTTAACTGTCCTTCTACAATAAGGTGACCCACCCAGGGGATGAAGGAAAGGGGGTGGATGTAGTTTTTCTGGATTTTAGCGAGGCTTTTGATACTGTTCCTCACAGCATCCTTCCGACAAGTTGTCCAACTGTGAGATGAACAGGTTCACAGTGAGCTGGGTGAAGAACTGGCTGGACAGCAGGGCTTAAAGGGTTGTAGTGAATGGGACTACATCTGGCTAGCTACTGGGTCACCAGTGGTATTCCTCAGGGCTCAATCCTAGGGCCAGTGCGGGTCACTATTTTTATCGATGATCTGGATGCAGGATTTGACTGCACCATTAGCGAGTTTGCTGATGCTACTGAACTGGGAGGTGCTGTTGACTCCCTTGAGGGACAAGAGGCCTTGCAGAGGGATCTAGACAGATTGGAGCATAGGGCAGTCATTAGTGGCATGAAATTTAACAAGTCCAAATTTTGGATTCTGCACCAGGGAGAGAATAATGCTGGATACAAGTGTAAATGGGGAGAGGAGTGGCTGGAGAGCAGCCCTGCAGAAAGGGACCTGGGGATGCTGGTTTGCAGCAGGCTCAATAGGAGCCAGCAGTGTGCCCTGGCAGCCAAGAGGGCAACCCACATCCCGGGGTCCATCAAATACAGCATGACCAGCCCACCAAAAGAGGTGAATATTCTGCTGTATTTATTGTTGGTGCGGCCTACCTTGAGTACCGTGTGCAGTTCTGGGCCCCACCATTTAATAAAGATGTGAAGGTACTTTAAAGTGTCCAGAGGAAGGCACCCAAGCTGGTGGTAGGGCTGGAAGGCATGTCCTGTGAGGAGCAGCTGAGGACTCCGGGTTTGTCTTGTTTGGAGAGAAGGAGGCTGAGAGGCGACCTGGGCACTCTCTGCAGCTTCCCTAGGAGAGGACGTGGACAGGGAGATGCTGAGCTCTTCTCCCTGGGATCCAGGGGCAGGAGCCCTGGGAATGGTTCACAGCTGCCCCAGTGGAGGTTCAGACTGGACATTAGGAAACACTTCTTTACCAAGAGGGTGGTCAAACCCTGGAACGGGCTTCCTGGAGAGGTAATCGATGCCCCAAGCCCGACAGGGTTTCAGAGGCATTTGGACAATGCCCTTAATGACATGCTTTAGCTTTTGATCAGCCCTGAAGTGCTCAGGCTGTTGGACTAGATGACCGGTGTAGGTCCCTTCCAACTGAACTATTCTATTCTAGTCAATCCTAATGTAGAAGCTTCTTTACAAATCAGTAACCTGAATCTGGTCAGAACTATCTAATTTTATTTAATCTGTTCAGTCTCTCTAATTTTCATGCTCTATAATACAAAACATTCATTTATAACCTAAAGTGACTATTCTGGGCAATACTTCTGCTGGAGAATGACAAGAATGAACATAATGCTACAGAAAAGAAATTTCTTGTTCAACAGCATTTTAAATAAATAACTTTTGTTCATTATACATGCAGAAGAAGTTTAAATGATTAATCATAACTGACGGCTGCACTAACATGTCCCACATCTAGAAGCAGAAAATGGCACTTGGGATATGAGTTTCATTTGCTCCTCATTTTCATGAGAGAATACTTGTGACTGTAAATAAGGCCTACAATAGATACGACATAGGTGAAGCAGTCCAATTTAACTGTTCTTTCCAGCATTATGCATTACTAGATAGTATTTGCCTATCCCACACAGTATAACCAGAAAGGAGTAAACCCAATTTATTTCCAATTCTCTTGGCTAGAGCTTCAGGATTTAGAAGGTTCCAAGAAGGCAGCTGTTGAGGGATAACCAGTATCGGAAAATAAACCACTTTTTTTTTTAAACTTTTTTTTTTTTCATAAAAACAAGAACAAGCAGAGAATTTAAATTGTCTCCACTGAAGTCCCAATTGCTAACCTTGCTCTAGGACTGCATAAACCTATCTTTTTTAGTTATTTTAGACTGGACTGAGATGTGAAATCATCTCCCATGTTACACATGCAAAACATTTCTGGTGATGCAAGCTTGTTAACCTGCTTCAGATGCAATTAAAGAGAAACCCATATAGCCACCCAGTCAACTTTTTGGACAAACAGGTTTCCAGGCATTCCAGTTTTCATATCCAGTACCTTGTCAACACTTTCACTTCCTTAATAAAGAAGGGGAAACATATGAAAAAGACTTAAGTATTTGGCAGATCCTTTTATGTAGCCTGCATGAGGCTCGCTCCCACCCAGGGGATGAAGGAAAGGGGGTGGATGTAGTTTTTCTGGATTTTAGCGAGGCTTTTGATACTGTTCCTCACAGCATCCTTCCGACAAGTTGTCCAACTGTGAGATGAACAGGTTCACAGTGAGCTGGGTGAAGAACTGGCTGGACAGCAGGGCTTAAAGGGTTGTAGTGAATGGGACTACATCTGGCTAGCTACTGGGTCACCAGTGGTATTCCTCAGGGCTCAATCCTAGGGCCAGTGCGGGTCACTATTTTTATCGATGATCTGGATGCAGGATTTGACTGCACCATTAGCGAGTTTGCTGATGCTACTGAACTGGGAGGTGCTGTTGACTCCCTTGAGGGACAAGAGGCCTTGCAGAGGGATCTAGACAGATTGGAGCATAGGGCAGTCATTAGTGGCATGAAATTTAACAAGTCCAAATTTTGGATTCTGCACCAGGGAGAGAATAATGCTGGATACAAGTGTAAATGGGGAGAGGAGTGGCTGGAGAGCAGCCCTGCAGAAAGGGACCTGGGGATGCTGGTTTGCAGCAGGCTCAATAGGAGCCAGCAGTGTGCCCTGGCAGCCAAGAGGGCAACCCACATCCCGGGGTCCATCAAATACAGCATGACCAGCCCACCAAAAGAGGTGAATATTCTGCTGTATTTATTGTTGGTGCGGCCTACCTTGAGTACCGTGTGCAGTTCTGGGCCCCACCATTTAATAAAGATGTGAAGGTACTTTAAAGTGTCCAGAGGAAGGCACCCAAGCTGGTGGTAGGGCTGGAAGGCATGTCCTGTGAGGAGCAGCTGAGGACTCCGGGTTTGTCTTGTTTGGAGAGAAGGAGGCTGAGAGGCGACCTGGGCACTCTCTGCAGCTTCCCTAGGAGAGGACGTGGACAGGGAGATGCTGAGCTCTTCTCCCTGGGATCCAGGGGCAGGAGCCCTGGGAATGGTTCACAGCTGCCCCAGTGGAGGGTCAGACTGGACATTAGGAAACACTTCTTTACCAAGAGGGTGGTCAAACCCTGGAACGGGCTTCCTGGAGAGGTAATCGATGCCCCAAGCCCGACAGGGTTTCAGAGGCATTTGGACAATGCCCTTAATGACATGCTTTAGCTTTTGATCAGCCCTGAAGTGCTCAGGCTGTTGGACTAGATGACCGGTGTAGGTCCCTTCCAACTGAACTATTCTATTCTAGTCAATCCTAATGTAGAAGCTTCTTTACAAATCAGTAACCTGAATCTGGTCAGAACTATCTAATTTTATTTAATCTGTTCAGTCTCTCTAATTTTCATGCTCTATAATACAAAACATTCATTTATAACCTAAAGTGACTATTCTGGGCAATACTTCTGCTGGAGAATGACAAGAATGAACATAATGCTACAGAAAAGAAATTTCTTGTTCAACAGCATTTTAAATAAATAACTTTTGTTCATTATACATGCAGAAGAAGTTTAAATGATTAATCATAACTGACGGCTGCACTAACATGTCCCACATCTAGAAGCAGAAAATGGCACTTGGGATATGAGTTTCATTTGCTCCTCATTTTCATGAGAGAATACTTGTGACTGTAAATAAGGCCTACAATAGATACGACATAGGTGAAGCAGTCCAATTTAACTGTTCTTTCCAGCATTATGCATTACTAGATAGTATTTGCCTATCCCACACAGTATAACCAGAAAGGAGTAAACCCAATTTATTTCCAATTCTCTTGGCTAGAGCTTCAGGATTTAGAAGGTTCCAAGAAGGCAGCTGTTGAGGGATAACCAGTATCGGAAAATAAACCACTTTTTTTTTAAACTTTTTTTTTTTTCATAAAAACAAGAACAAGCAGAGAATTTAAATTGTCTCCACTGAAGTCCCAATTGCTAACCTTGCTCTAGGACTGCATAAACCTATCTTTTTTAGTTATTTTAGACTGGACTGAGATGTGAAATCATCTCCCATGTTACACATGCAAAACATTTCTGGTGATGCAAGCTTGTTAACCTGCTTCAGATGCAATTAAAGAGAAACCCATATAGCCACCCAGTCAACTTTTTGGACAAACAGGTTTCCAGGCATTCCAGTTTTCATATCCAGTACCTTGTCAACACTTTCACTTCCTTAATAAAGAAGGGGAAACATATGAAAAAGACTTAAGTATTTGGCAGATCCTTTTATGTAGCCTGCATGAGGCTCGCTTCTCAGGAGTAAAGAAGCAGAATTTCAAAATGCACATGAGCTGAACAGGATCACAACAGAAACAGCAGAGAACAAAAGAAAACGGTGATAAATGCTCAATCCAGTTTTGGAATGCAACTGATGGAAGCAACCAGAGTTGCTGCAATACTGGATGCTGACTACTGTCAACACTAAGGAGTAATTTTCACAGTTAACTATGAGTACTCTACTTACTTTGGAAAACGCGGAATATTTAGAAATCCTACAAACACAGAAGTCAACAGAGCTATAGCTCAGAAAAAAACAAGTTTAGCATTTTCAAGACTTCAACACATTTATTAATTCATACAAATATCAACAAAAGAGAACTGTTAACACACAGGCCAATGGGACATGAATCTTGCATGCAATGGTAAAGTTATCTCTTGATCTTATAGAGTCTATCTACCTTTGCCTTCTCTACTGCAGACCAACAATCAAATAGACAGTGAATGGTTCTCTCAAGTTAGGTTTTCAGTGAACAGCTATTTACAGCGCACCTATGTATTTACACTCAGGTTTCCTGCAAGCATCTTTCCACTTTTATCTAATCTGACTAAATTTGAGCTTCAGGCCTTGCTTTACTCAAGACATCTGTGGGCTGAAAATGCTGATGGGGGAGCAGGCTTAATCAGATCTTGTTTTCCAGGAATGTAAGAGGTTGAAATAAAGAACTTTTACAGTAGCAGTACTTTCACAACTGATTTTTTTGCTTGAAATGCACGGCAGAATGAAAAATACACCCTTCTCAGACATCCAGCTGAGTATTATAATGGAGAAAGTAGCATTAAGAAAGCAGAGCTTCAACTGCAGCTCACTCCAGAAGTTTTAAGTTTTGAATGACGTTAATGAGATGATTTTCCTTTCAACATAGCAAAGAGCATAGGCATGCCCAGACACATACTGACCAACATTATAGGAACGTGTGCTTTCTCTCATACATACATAAACGGGAAATGGCTGCGATGGCATGTGGCGGTAACACAAAGCACCATCCAGGGGAGCGGACAAGAGGGCTCAGAGCAGCTCGACACAACATTTTGAGATGCCTTCTGCAAATCAAGGATATCTGTAAGTTAAAAGGAAGGGAGAAGGGGGGAAAACTGGTTAAACATGAGTGAATTTCCATCTATATTTCTCTCCTCACCCACTCCCCCCACCCCAAATCCTCTTTGTCCTGTACAGTCTTCACACAATTTCCTTGTCCAAGAGGCAGACAACCCATTCTCTTCATTTTGCAGAATTCTCAGACTGTGACTTAGAAAAAACTGATGGCCCCTCTTCCCTACCTGCTGGCCGAAGATCATTATTAAAGATCAAGAACAAAACATGGTTCCCCAAGAAGGGAAAAGACTATTAGTGAATGTACCTACAATGGAGAAAAGTCATAACTTTGTCCACAGAGAAGCCTGGAAGGAAAAAAAGTAAATGTAGAGAGGTTGTATCATTCAGACTTCTCCAGACACCCCACAACACAGCATCTACTATACTTCTCATGAATCTCAGCCCTATTCAGTATAGAAGACATGCTGATTCACTTTTCCCTGAGCACTACCAAATGACAAGATGTTAACCATGACTACAAGTAATGACACCAGTTTCCGAGGTAGTTGCCATTAGTTTCCCTTTAATGAACTTGTAAGCACTCAGGATTCTTGTAACTCAAAATCCACTAGAGCAAGTACCCAACAAACAAGGGATACACAATTAGCAATTTCCTATGACAGGTCTAGTTGAAGCAATGGATCAAGTATCACAAAGGAAACAAAAAGAGATTAGGAAAATCCAGTTCTCAAGTCATGAAACCTCCCCATTCTACAAAATTTTGCTTCCTTTACTTGCTTTCAATCCATCCCTCTGCACCATTGGAACAGAACGAACAATATTGCACAAGCTCTAGTAGGGAGAAGATATTGTAGCGAGGACAAGGGGTGCTCATAGTATCTGCATTGGAAGTCTGCTATTACAAATACCAGGACTATTATAGCACCTGGCAGTTCTGGCGTACATGTACACAAACACTTGAAGTTGTTTCATTACCCTGCATCAATGTATTGTTATTATACCTCATTATAATCCATACCAAAATATACACCCCTACATAAGACAAGGCAGCCACCAGCAGATAATGGTTCTCCTGTGTTGTTAGTAAAGATTACATAGCATGGCATTTTAACAATATTAACCTGCTATGTCCCTCCACTTCTGTAACTCATCTGAAACGGCAGTCTTGACCACTGCCAAGATGAGGTAGGCAAAGGACTCAGAGCAGATGATACAACTGAGCAAGTAATCCAAGTTTTCTTCTCATAACAGGGCAAGCTTAAAGGAGCTGGTGAACAGTACCAACTAGACATTCCCCCTTTGAACCCTTACCAGGCACCTCATGCACCTCCCTTCTGGAGGGCACAAGAATTCCCACTGTTCACACGTCTGGCTGTTTGACCCTTCCACCTTGAAGTTCACCCTGGCATCTACCGTCAGCCATCATCTTCCCAGCAGGGTCTTGTTGTGTCTCAGAGGGATGCTCAGACTCCAGCAGCTCCCAACAACCTGAACTGGCAGATGGTAGGTCCTTTATTCAGAACCCCTTCCACCACAATTATCCCGAGTGGAAGTGCCTTTTCCTCTTCAGCATCCTTCACAGACCATCTCCCTTCGGGAGCAGAACCAGGCACTCTGCCTGAAGTTTCACCCCCAGACATTTCCTGTTACCACCTCTCCCACTAGAGCAATAATCTTCACCTGGTATTGCACTGTCACTAGAATACAGCCCCATACTGGCTAGATCAAGCCGTGTTGTCTCCTTGGCTGCTACTGCTGACCTGCCAGAAAACCACTTCACATTCTCACTTACAGGGCTGCTTGCAACCAAGAGCCTCCTTGTCCTTCTGCAAGACCGCCTCCTGTTTCCCTTCGCCAGAGACAACTTTGCTATGAGCCAGCAGACGACGAGGAGTGAGAAGTGGCAGGCGGTGTGGCTCTTTTGAAGGAAAAAGATTAGGAAGAAGCAGCATGTTTTTGAAACTAGCTTGTGAGAAAAGGCAAGGAGACCAAGTTAACAAGACAGAAATGGAAATTTCAGAGCAGCAGCGGACATCAACAGAAGAGCGAGCGAGCAAGACGTGGAAAGGGAATGATGCTGCCAGAAAGCACAGACAGAGCGCAGGGCATGCTGGAAATCACAAGCTCTCTTTAAGGCTAGTCCGAAGCTGCAGAACAACTTTACTCTCACTCAATCACGGATTTAAAGGTCATTTCAACCCTTATTTTCCATTCCACTCCCACTTCCATACCTGGAATGGTTCTGGTCTTCAATAACAAACAAAAAAAAAGGTACCTAATTTAAAGAAAAAAAAAAAAAGTTAAACTACTGCCTTGCTTGGAGGGGAGGGAGGAGTAAAAAGAAAAGAAAATTCAGGTATTTCTCCAAGACTCTAGCATCAGCTTAAAAATTTATTTTTTTATTACTAGGAAAACCTCCTCCGTCCAAACTAGTGTCCAAACCTGACTTTAAAAAATATGATTCTCCCATCATCTCTTTAAATAATGCTACCCTGATATTATCCCTCATAGAAAACAATACTATTGGGTAGTTTTCACGAATTTATTACCTTCATAACAGCTGTTGAGTAGCACAGTACATTTAGATTCTGCTCCAGATCAGTGTAAAGAGACTTAGTTACCTTCTGAGGTAATCAGAGGTCTCAAATCCTAAAACTGGTGCCTTTAACAACAATATATAGCACTGATTTTTCAGTCTGTTGGCTGGAGGCCCATGGGATGTCCACGACCATTTGCAGTGAGTCGATAAAATAAAGCTAAATAAACTTTTTTCACAGCTTTATTTACAAAAGCCAATGTCTCAGCTAAGTGTTAGGACATTCCACAGACTCCTATAGGAGGAGCTATACTGTACTACACTGAAGTAATTAAGCAGAGATAGATCAAGTTTGAAGGAAATGCATGCAATTTTAAGGAAGTAAGTCTTTACCGTGACACAAATAAGTCCTCTGAAACATTTAGGGGGTTGTTGTTTAAACAGCTTTGTTACCTTATCAACTAAAACTTTTGGAAGGAAAAAAAAAAAATCTGCAGTTCTTGGTGCAAACTCAGACCCGAGAAACCTTCCCAGAGGGAAGCCACTTCGGAAGAACTAACGTAAAGAAAAGCTTCAAATAAGTTGTCTATAGAGCAGTTTGCAAATAGCTTTACCCAGGTTCTACAGAAGCTATACACACAGAGAACAGGCGATTCAAAGCAACACGTACCATGCAACCCTTTTCTATCAAGAGTACATTCCAGCAGGACAGCGTGGTCACGGCAGCCTGCATCTACCGGCATTGCCTCGCACAGCACAATAAAACCCTGTCACCGGCCTGCGAGAACCGTTCTAATCCCAGTACCTCGACAGATAGCACCTGTGGCAGCTCAGTGTTTTTCCATTTTGTTACACCTTGCCTACAAGTTAAGAAAGCAGAGCGGTGTAGCAACAGCCCCGGGGGCGGGACTTGCCTGGGAGAGGGCAAGCTGAGGAATGGGGCGATTCACACGGGGGCGCGCCGCAGCGCCCACCCGAGCATGGGCAGGAAGCTCAGCTGAGCCAAGCGCAGCGGCAGACGGGTTTCTCATTGCACATTTATCCATCACACCTACCAGCGTCACGCCTTGCCCGGGCACTTGGATCCACCAGAATTTCCGTACCTGACCTCTGCTGCCGAAACGCGACACAGACTTCCAGGAGAAGCAGCCCCAGCAG